GGGAGAAGGTCAAATACCGTATGATTTCCTTCATTAAGTAGTAGATAATAACAACAATAAACAAAGACATAGAGACAGAGATTGGATTGGTGGTTACCAGAGGAGAAGGGGGGAGGGAGGAGGAGAAAAGGGATAATTCGGCACATTTGTGTGGTGATGGGTTGTAATTAGCATTTGGGTGGTGAACATGATGTAATCTATGCAGAAATAGAAGTATGATGATGTACACCTAAAATTTATACAATGTCATAAACCAATGTTACTGCAATAAACAAAAAATTTAAAAAAAAAAAGAAGAAGATGATGTGGTATATATACACAATGGAATACTACTCAGCCACAACAAGACAAAATCGTCCCATTTGCAACAACATGGATGGAACTTGAGGGTATGATGTTAAGTGAGATAAGTCAGACAGAGAAAGACAAACACCATATGATTTCACTTATATGTGGAAGATAAACACATGGACAAAGAGAGTTTGGTGGTTACCAGGGGGACAGGGGGTTGAGGGGTGGGCACGAGGGGTAAAAGGCTCATATATATGGTGACTAACAAATAATAATGTACTACCGAAATTTCACAATGTTATAAACTATTATGACACCAAAAAAAAAAATTAATAGCCTCTACTTAAAAACTCAAAATTAGAGTGCTTCCACTGGGCTCTGATGTTCCCTGGCTATAGGACCTTGAGCACGTTACTCAACCTCTCACAGATGTCTTTCTCACTTGTCAACAAGGAGGATGATACTCCAGGTTGTTGCAATAAAGCCCCTAGGATGGAGCCTGGCACCCAGCGGTGGAGCCATGAGTGGTGATGGCGCCACTGCCTCTCCCTGCACTGCACTGGCCACACTAGGGAGGGCAGGTAGGACAGCAGAGTGTCAGGAACAGAAAACTTTGACAAATACTAAATTAGAAATAAAAATCAGGGGCTGGCCCCATGGCCTAGTAGTTAAGTTTAGCATACTCCACTTCAACAGCCCAGGTTCGGATCCTGGGCGTGGACCTACACCACTTGTTGGCAGCCATGCTGTGGCAGTGACCCACATACAAAATAGAGGAAGACTGGCACAGATGTTAGCTCAAGGCGAGTCTTCCTCAGCAAAAAAAGAAAGACAGAAAGAAAAATCATTTGGTCTTTTCATTCAGTGGGAAGGAGTCAATGTTCCCCAGGTCCCAGGTAAACTCACTACCAAGGGGAAATTTTGCAAAAAGCAGGACGCAATGTGCTTGCCCCAGAAGCAGGACAGCTCCACAGGCCACAGGCTCCCAGACCACTAGTGCTTACAGTGATGTTTGCCTTCTGGAGCCCCACAGCCTCCTTCAGCGAGGACAGGAAGTGGTAGTTGGTGGGGCTCAAGAGTCGGCCGGCAGCTGACAGGTGAAAGGAAACCACACAGCTCTGCCGGGTACACCTCCCACATCTCTCCAGCAGCTTGGGCACTGGCTCCCTGTAGAGGAGAACAGCCTCGCCCACTTTCATCACAAGATGCTTGGTGTCACGCGAGCACAGAGGCTCCAGGGAACTCCACGCGTGCACTCTCACCTGGGGAGACAGGGCAGAACAAAGCATTCTCGGTGACTGTACTTTTTGAGAATAACGGTAGCAATAAGAGATGGAGGTCAGGATCACAGAACTGGTTTAGAGATGGCAAAACCTGGGTTTAACCCAGCCCCACTAAGCACCAGTGATGTAACTGAGCATGTTACTCCATGTTGCAAAGCCTCGCTTTCTTCACACGTGAAATGAGAATATTAACAGCACTCACTTCACATGCTGTCATAAGAATTAAATAACATGATGCGAGGAAGGCACAGTGCCAGGTGTGCTGTAATTATTCTGAAAACACGGCCTATTTTCAGTGTCCTCCACATTGCCACCACCCAAGACTTCTTTGAGTTTCTACCCTCTCTTTTTACCTGGCTTTGTTTTAAATACAAGTTTATTTTTCCACACACCCATTCTGAATAACTTTACTGATTTCCACTTTAAATTGTCATTTTTAATAATTTCTTTTTATAAAGTTAGGCTACTTCCAACTTCTCAAGATCATAAATAACTTGACATTTAAGTGGCACTTTATTATTTGCTTTCATCTGATTATTTTATTCACTACTCATTGAAATCTTCTAAGAAGATAGGATGATGATAGACGACATCATTCCACAGATGAGGAAAGTGAATCACTGAGACCTTAAGGCTTAAAGTCACAGAATAAATGGCAGTTTTACCCTGAATGTATGTATTCTGACTCCAAGGACAGCCTATTTTCCTATACAGATGCTGGAAACATTTTGATACAAATAAATTTCTCTTTTCTTTTTCCCAAAAGAAATAGAACCAAATAACTAAAGAAATAATCTAAAATTCTCCCTCTATCTTAGAGAGAAAAAAATCTAAGCAACTTACAGTGAGCGTCACCTTACAGTCCGAGTGAAGGTCTGACACACCGTAGATGAAAAACACGTCTTGATTCTCAAAGCCCACCGGCAACAGCGGAGCGAAGAAATGCCGAGCAAAGTAATGAAGCATTTTCCACTTTCCTCCATACTCTAAAAATAGTCAGGAAAGTTAGGAGACAGGTAGGGTCAAGTAGTCAGAGTAATGTCCACATGGCCCAGCTGTATGTGACTTGTCATGACTCTAGGGGCTGAGTGTAGGAGGGTCAGCAGTGGCGGGAACCCACAACTGTTGAGGGTCAAGAGCATTTTGGACATTCTCTCCTGTCATCCTCACAACATCCGGGGGAGGTAAGCATTAACATCCCACTTTACAAAGGAGGAAACAGAGGCTCAAGCAGTTAAGTCGAGCAGGCCACAGGCAGTATTTGGAGCCCAGACCTGCCTCCCACTAGCTCATATGCAATTCTGCTTCCAGGAGCTCGAGGCACCAGCGTTCCTTTTTACTACGTACACATAAAAAAAGAAATCAGTAGCATTGGCAGTGAACACCTGTTACAAATATTCATTTATAAGAGTTACTTAGAACTCAAAGTCTCCTTTTCCATAGGCACAAAATCCTCTGAGCGAAACAAAACCACCACTATTACAAATATAGCTGGCAAGTGCAGACCGGAGGAGAACAGCCAAACCAATAACAATTCAGGAGAGTTCCTCAATACAATTAGAAGTGTTGAGAACCTGTAGAATTCTGTGCCCTGCTGGCATGTCTAGTATGCTAAACCCACAAACTAAAAAATATTTCAACATGCCTCTGTTTCAGAAAGAAGATCCTTCCCCACAAAGCACTGCATTACTGAACAACTTCTGAGAGAGAGAGCACACACTAGCTTCAGAATTCACAGTGCGAGCTGTTGAGATGGACGAATGTGGTTTCGAAGTTCAGGTAGAACTAATTACTATAGGTTTTGCAAAATTTCAACTCTCAGCACTTCAATCCCAACTCTTAGTATTTCCCCCTAAAAACAACAAGCATGGGGAGAAGGGTGAAGAGACCTTTCTTCTTACATCTATAAAATGAAGTAGAACTTACATTTGGAAAGTTTTCTCATAAATGGAAGATGGCTCAGACCTGAGGTAAGTCACCCACACACTCTCATGTGTCATATCCACTACCAGGAAAAGACTTCAAATGTGTGGACCCAGAGAGCAAGGCCATAAACAGGCACTGAACTCAGGAGAACAGGGATCGAAGCAGAAGGCCTCACTGACACACACCCTAGCCACTAATCAGTGACAAGGCCTGGATACCAACACAGTCCTCTGCATAGCTGGCTAAAAATGCTACGTGATTTCCGGCTTTGCCACTAGCTCTGTCACTGTCCAAGTTTATAAGCCAAGCAAAATGCCCAGGTGGATTTTTGTATTTGTAAAATTATAACTATAAATAAGACTAATTTTTAAAAAAAGAAATATATAAGAATTGGGGCCGGCCCATTAGCGTAGCGGTTAAAGTTTGTGTGTTCCACTTTGGCAGCCCAGGGTTCACTGGTTCAGATCCCGGGCGCGGACCTACTCACCGCTCATCAAGCCATGCTGAGGTGGTGTCCCGCATAGAAGGGCTACAACTCTACAACTATGGCATACAACTATGTACTAGGGCTTTGGGGAGAAAAAAGAAAAAAGAGAGGAAGATTGGCAACAGATGTTAGGGGAGGGCCAGTCTTCCTCAAAAAAAAAAAAAGGAAAGAAAGAAATATAGAAGAATCTATAGATTCTAAGTAGCTGCTGCTCCCTGGAAGGTATCACCATTTCAGATGATGACAAGAGGGGATGCATACCTTCCCCCGCCTACCTGCACACACCGTAAGCACCGGACTGACTGAGCTGATCAAGCAGAATTCAACAGAGCCCGTGAGGCTGCCCAGAGAAGGAGCAGATACAGCATAACTTGTCACAGCTTCTCCCTGGCACCATTTTGTCTAATAGGTGCAAGGAGACTGTGACCTCTCTATGGAGGCATTGTCCTGCTACAGTTCAGAAAACAGCAAATTCTTGCTCTGCTATCACACTCTTGTGCTGGGGTTTACCCACCCTTTCTGAAGAACTCATTCAAATGATCCACATGTGGTCATTTAAGGGGAGAGTTACAGAAAGCAGGCTCTCCCATTTCTTGAACCAAACTCAGAAGTCCACACCTCATCCAAAGACAGAAAGCAGGGTCAGGGGCCGAGCGTCTGTGAGGAGCATCTCTCTGTCCAGTTTTCAGCGTCCCAGAAAGGCTCCTCCCACAGTCTGCCTTGGTCCTCATCCATACCCTCTTATCCAGCTGGTGCAGATCAAGAGTTTGCTCAGAGACACTTGATGAAAACTCCAGTTCTCCGCAAGAGGCCATCTGGCACTAAGCACAGTGCAGGGCTGACGCCTCAGGACTTGCATTCACAGCCAGTTTAAGAGCCTCACCCAGCAAAACGGCATTTTTACTTTATGGCCTTGCCTCATCTTTGACCCAAAACTTTTGCTTATATTGTTAACTGAACTTTGCTTTAAACCACCTCTAGTGAAGGCCAAAGATTCATTATTACTCCTTAATTTTTTTTAATGTACCAAAATAGATAGAATAATTCAAACTGCAAGTACCATGCCAGTCATCTCACCTGTGGCTAGCTGAACTGGTTCAACTGGTAACCCTTCTTATCTGGATTTCCGACTCCCCCTCTCCCTGCCATCAAATAAAGATGATCTTATGGACTTGAAGGGGAGTCAGAGAAAGGGACATTTTAATACTTAGCTGGGCCAACCTTCCACTTGGTTGAATTCTCCTAAACAGAAGAAGAGACGCTTAAGTAAATGCTCCTTTTGCCCTGGAAATTACTTTTAAATAAATTCAAAATTCTAAGCAATAATTATAAGACACGTGGCTGAGACCATCACGCCTGAACCTACCCTTCATTAGCCTGCTTTTGTGACTTTGCACAGCCCAGAACTCAGAACGAGGCTGCCTCTGAAGCTCCTGGAAAGACTCTGATGGTGGGTGGGACAGCCGCCAGTTCTGCTTGGGCTCATCTAGCCTGGGGGGCTCTGTGCTTCTCAGTGCTTCTCCTCACAGTAAGTGCTGAAACGCTTACCTAGAGAAGCCCAGGAAGGAGCCTGCCAGATGTCATTCAACTGCCAGTAAAGCGCCCCCATGGTGTGCCCTTCTCCAGTCACTATCTCGCTGCGACTGCGGCGGTAGAATTCAGTTTCTGTTTTGACACACTGGGCCTGCACCACCTGATTCAGGGAAAATATGAAAACACACGTATTATTGTTTGAGGTAGGCTATCCAGATTTGAGAAGAACATAGGCCTGAGTTTTTTTTAAAGCAAATTGGATAAATTATGGTATTGTATTAGCTCTGTATATGCCATTATTATACTAGACCTAGAACTGGCCCCTTGGCCTGAGAGAAGCTGTTGTCTTTAACAGCTGGCTTATTTGGGAGGCTCGAGGTTGATTTATTATAACAACGGGGGATCAAGGAAACAGGATGGTGTAAAGGTTCTTTGCTAAGACGTGTAGGCAACGCTGGAAAACAAAGACTATTCCTCCAAAGCAAACACTCCACGGAGCCAGACACAGGTTGTCTGCAGTGATACCAACACATTCATAGCTATTTAAAAAGAAGTTTTATTAGAAAAAAATTCTATAGGAAAAATAACTTTATTATGAGTCTGATGTTGTCTAATCCCTAACCTCTTTTTTCTAGTCAAGCAATTGTTTTTATATCACAACTTTTGATAATGTAAAATTTCTTATGAATGCAATTTTTTCACTGCAGCAGAATGGATGGTCAGTTGCAGCAATGAGACAAGTGAATTTGCTCTTGCTGAAGAGGCACTAAGGAACTTCAGGCAGATGCTTCTTCACCGTCATCACCATTGACAAGTCAGTCTCTTCTGTGGCTGCAGCTACTGACACTGTGGGCATCACATGCTCTTAGCTTGGAGCTGCTATTAGGAGGGGCTCAGGAACGGGTCACCAAGGAGAACCCAGAGAGACGGCCAGAGCTGCAAGTATTCCTGTCAGAGAAAAGGATGGCCTTAGAGTAGGGCCTGGATTTTCAGAGGAAGAAAAAGAAGGATGCATATATGGCCACTAGAAGACTAAGCCCAGACACCTTCCTAGAAAGCTGAAAAGGCTCAGTTAAAAGTAGAACCTTTAGGAAGAGGTAGGTTGGCTAGTGAGGAAGTCATAGATGAAGTTACGGCTCACATGAGGCAGAGCCATAAAATTCCAGAAGGGTGAAGCAAGAAAAATTCATGTTCATTCAGTAAGTATTTAATAAGCATCTAGAGTATGTGTTACCTGCTGGAAATGGTAAGCCCCTCTCCCAGGAAAAAAGATACAGCCCACCATCATGGAGCTTATTGGCTGTGTAGAAGACAGGCCTTATGAAAGAATCACAGAAATACATGTAAACTTTACACAGTAATAAGTGCTAAGAAGGAGAGATGGGCAATGTTAGGAGCTTAGATAGCAGGGAAAATGGGTCTAGCCATGGGGTGAGGATTGGCCTCAAAGAAGAGGAAAGACAAAAAGGGAGAGAGCAGAACCTCACAGTAGAGAGGACAGTGTGTGGCAAGAGGAGAATGCACGAGTGAACAACTGAAGGAAGGCTGAGGTGGCCTGAGCACAGACAGCTGGGAGCAATGGAGGAGAGGCTGACGAGACGCAGGGCCCAGACCTGGGAAGGTTTTGGTGTGCATCGTAAAGGCAGATGGAAATCACCGAGAGCTTGTAAGGTAAAGGGTGAAGTGATCAGCTTTGCATTTCCAAAAGACAACTCTGACTACTGAAAGGAAAATGGATTGCAGAGTGGATTTAGGAGACCATTTAGAAAACTATTAAAATCTTCCAGGCAAGAGATGGTAGCTGTGAGCAGATAAAGAATGCCCTCCTAGTCAGGAAGCAGGCCACTGGGACCACAGCCACGATAGCAGGCAAATACACTCTACAGAAGGTAAGAATCTCACATCCAGTGCGGCACTGGTGCCAACTCACAATGACCACAGGACACAACCTGAATATATTAGTCTAACATAAGTCAGAGGGAATGAAATAGAAAAATAAACCTGAGAACTTTGATCTATGTCAGTCAAGCTAATATGCAATTAGACTCAGGATCTCTAACCAGCTTCCTGGTAAAAACACCAGTCTTGTCTGAACTAAATGAAAAAAGAAAGAGAAGTATCTACTTCTAGGCCTGGATAGACAGGCACAGAGAAATTAAGTCCCTTGCGTAGCATTCACATGCCTGTTGAGTCACTGTACAAAATCAGTGTTGTGGAGCAACTTCTAGAAAGTCCAGTGAAGATGAAGTGAAATCCCAGGAGAAAGAGATCCGAGGGCAGCACCAATTATCAATCCATTCCCACTAGAGATTTTTACCTCACATCAGTGTGGAAAGTAACTTTTATGTTTCTTTAAAAGATCTGATAACAGCTGAACTGATTTAAACCACCTCGAGCCTCCAAATAACACCCCACCCACCAAGCTAACACTGCCCACGGCACGCGATCGGACCACCACATGCCCGGCGCCCACGGCACACACACCCCGGCCCCGACGACAAGGAGTCTCTGCTCCCATCCTGAGATTCCTGAAAAATCAGCCATGGCTCTACGGACATGTGTGGAGGGATCACGAGAGGAAAAGCTGAGGAGGCTTCATCACCCCAATGGGTAATGACAGGCGGAGAGGGATTCCAGTTACCAGACATTCCAGAAGCTGCTGGCCCGGGCAGAGCACAGGCTTCGAACAGCAACAACCATGGACACTACACTTTGGGTGCCAGCCCACAATTCTGGGACTCCTAGGATCTGAAGTGTCCACAAAGTCGGGGCCATTCCTGATATACCGAAGAAGCCCGAGAACCTGCAACATTCTGATATTACCCCCAGGGACCTTGGTCAGTGTCAAGGCAGGAGTGGTACAGGAGGGTGTCACTCAAGAAGACTTGGGACTGCAGTCATTTTCCGTGGATCTAGATTTATAAAGAAGAGTGAACAGGGAAAAGTAAAAACAATTCTGAAGTGGGAACAAAATATTGGTGTATACCAGAGTAGGAAATTAAGTCATCTCTTTCAGGCAAAGATGAAAACCTCTAGGACAAAGCCCTAACCTACTGAAATAGTCATGCTCGTGATTAGTTGGATCTAATCCAAAGGACAACTAGATATTTTACTGATGGCCTTGGTAGTGGTGATCTGCAGTTTCTTTTTCTTCATGGTGAATTTAAGCTTCTTTTCAGGGAAAAAGAAATCTGGTGAGTGTCAAATTATTTACATCCCTCTAAATTCTTTTCTAATCCTTTATTAACATATACTGTAACTCACATACATTTATAATTTTGTATTCTACTGTCACTGAATTTTCACATACAGTCATGCATTGCTTAATGACAAGGATACATGAGAAATGCGTCGTCAGGTAATTTCGTCGTGTGCAAACATCACAGAGGGTACTTACACAAACCTAGACGGTATGGCCTCCTACACACCTAGGCTGTACGGTACAGCCTATTGCTCCTGCTACAAACCTGTACACCATGTTCCTGTACTGAATACTGTGGGCAATTGTAACACAATGGCAAGTATTTGTGTATCTAAACATAGAAAAGGTACAGTAAAAATATGGTATAAAAAATAAAAAATTGCACACCTGTACAGGGCACGTACCATGAATGGAGCTTGCAGGACTGAAAGCTGTCGTGGGTGAGTCGGTGAGTGAATGTGAAGGCCTAGGACATCATGGACACCACTGTAGACTTTATAAACACTGTACACTCAGGCTACACTAAATTTATATAAACATATTTTTCTTACTTCAATAATAAATTACCTTAGCTTACTGTAACTTTTTTACTTTATGAACTTTTTAATTTTTTTAACTTTTTGGCTCAATTTAAAACACAAACACATTGTAAAGCTGTACAAAAATATTTTCCTTCTCTATATCCTTATTCTATGAGCTTTTTTCTATTAAGAAAATTTTTTTTGCTTACTTTTTAAACTTTTTTGTTAAAAATTAAGACACATGGGCCAGCCCTGGAGACCGAGTTGTTAAGTTTGGTGCACTCCACTTCGGCAACCTGGGTTGAGATCCCAGGCGTGGACCTACACCACTCGTCTGTTAGTGGCCATGCTGTGGCAGCAGCTCACATAAAAGAAAAAAAGAGTAAGACTGGCAGTGGATGTTAGGTCAGGGCGAATCTTCCTCAGCAAAAAAAAAAAAAAAAAAAAAACCCACAAAAAAAAAATAAGACACAAACACACACATCAGCCTAGGCCTACATAGGTCAGGATCACCAATATCGCTGTCTTCTGCCTCCACATCTTGTTCCACTGGAAGGTCTTCAGGGGCAATAACACACACGGAGCTGTCATCTCCTATGATGACAATGCCGTCTTCTGGAACACCTCCTGAAGGACCTGCCTGAGGCTCTTCTTGAGGAGCAGTCACTCTTTCAGAAATATGTCCATGGTGGTTTGCTTGGTTTGTTTCTTTTTTTCATCATAGGTTTGCTTGTAAGCAGATAATGCCCATGAACATTCCTCTCTGTTAATGAAAACCTTCCGTGTTGGGGTCTATGTTTTCAAATTTTTTAAAAAGCTTGTTGAGGTCTGCAAAAGCTTCTGCTAATCACTTCACTGTGAATTTTCTTGGGGGTTCTTCTTTTTCTTCTCCTGCAGATTCCTTTTCTCCTGCCTCTTCTTCAGCTGTGCATTCTGTTCCAGTTCCAACAACTCCACGTTAGTCACTTCTTCAGGAACCACCTCTAGGAGCTCCTCAATGTCATCCTCATCCACACCCAGGTTAAAGTTGTTTGCCTTCTCAACCACAGCCTTGCTGATTTCTGCAACCTCCTCATTCTTGGCAAATCCTTGGAAGTCATGGATGAACCTCTTGAGCGTCTTCTTCCAGATGCCATTCATACACTCCTTGGTGACATCACCCCAAGCCGAAGCAAGGTTCTTGATGCAGTCATAGATGTTGTAATCCTTCCAGAATTGCATCAGTGTCTTCCTCAGTTGCAGCAATAGCCTAGGAAAATGTCCTTCTCAGGCAGTAGGCCTTAAAAGCTGCTATAAAGTCCTTGATCCTTAGGCTGGATCAAAGAGGTGGTGTTTGAAGGGAGAAACACCACTATGATATTGGGATAAAGATCACCAATAAAAGGAGGATTATCAACAATAAACAAAATCTCAAAAGGTATGTTATTCTCCAAATGG